TTTAACACCAGGATTTCAATAACAAAAAGAAAAAGCAATGCTGAGACGGGACACCCTTGTCGTATGCCTCTTGACATTGTACATTTTCTAGTTAACCAGTTATTATTTTTAACATGAAAATAAGGATTAGTGTATAAAATTTTTATCCATCGAAGGAAATTTTCTCCAAAATTGAACTTTTTAAGAGTTTGAAACAAAAAGGTCCATTCAACTGAATCAAATGCCTTTTGAAAATCAGCAAACAATAATATTCCTTCCTCATTATTTTCTTCGCAATAATTGTATATATCCTGTATTAATCTTGCATTTTCACCGATAAATCTTCCCTTAATATACCCCGTTTGATTATCATTAATGAGTTTGTCCATAATAGTTTGTAGTCTCTTTGCAAATACGAAAGCTAAAATCTTATAATCGCAATTTGTTAAACTAATAGGACGATAGTTATCGAGATTTATCAAGCTTCCTTTTTTGTGTATAAGTGATAAAACAGAAGATCTTTGTGAAGAAGATAATTCGCCTTTTTCAAATGATCTCACTAGGCTTTCATATAAATAAAATTTTAGATATTTCCAAAACATTTTGTAAAATTCCACGGGAATTCCGTCTAATCCCGGTGATTTATTTAATTTCATATTATAAACAGCTTCTGCACATTCTTCAATTGTTATAACTTTATCGCAATTTTCTTTATCTACATCAGATAGGTAATTAATAAGTTCGGTTTCCTGTAAATATCTTTTTACATCGTTAATTGGTACATTGCTAGATGAGTATAGTTTTTCATAGTATGAACTAAGTGTACTTAAAATTTCTTCTGTTTCATATACACATTTATCTCCTACCGATAATTTATTTATAACATTATGTGATTGGTGTTTATTTTCTAGTCTTAAAAAATAGGAGGTGTTTTTTTCACCGTCATCGATCCAACGCGCTTTGGATCTCACCCTTGCTCCTTTTGATTTATATGTATATAAATTGTCTAATTCTTTTTCCAATTGCTTTTTATGTAGCATATTTATATCATTTGAATTAGACATTTCAATTTCTTCAATTTCCTTTTCTATAACTTTTAATACGATTGTTTATACTTTTGTTTTTCTTTTTGAATAGTCAATGCATAACTCTTTTATTTCATATTTAATCATTTCCCAACGAATTTGCGGATCTGGTTGGTTATTTATATTTTCAGGCATATTTTCGAAAAAGGTTTTGATAATGTTACAAAATTCAACATCTTGTAAAATTGACGTATTCAATTTCCAAAAACCATTACCTCTTTCATTTTTTGAGAGGGTACTGTAAAAAATAAAAGACCTATGGTCACTCATTCTAGTATTTGAAACATCTGGAGGTTTTCTAAGTAATATTTTTTCAACAGGATAACATAAATTCTCGGAAGTTAATATGTAATCAATTCTGCTTTTAGGCTTATTATTTGAATCACACCATGTATTCCCTTCTTTTTCAGGATTAATTTTGTCCCATATGTCAATCAATCGAAATTTAAATTTTAAATCATTAATTATTTTTGCACATTTACTCTTTGCACTGTGTACTGAATTAAAATCCCCTACAAATATAATGTTTTGTTCATTTAAACAATATTGAGAAACCCATGAAGCAAGTTTTTTGAAAAATTTACATCTTTCATTTACTGAATTTGGCGCATATATATTTACTAAAGTTATCATGTTCTGTTCATACTCAATATTAATTAAAATTCTCCTTCCATCATCTGATTTGTGTATGTTATGAACAATAATTGATAAACTTTTATGAAATAATACAGATACCCCTCTACTATGGGAAGAGTTGGAAAAACAATGATAGCTTGAACCTTGCCATCTAGCATTGTAAATATTTTCTCTTTCAGTTATATAATGAGTTTCTTGTAGAAAAACAATTTTGCAATTAGTATCATTAAGCCAATCATATAAAGTCTGTCTTTTAGAATAATCATTAAGCCCTCGGGCATTTAACGACAACAGCTTTAACGATGACATAAATATAAGAGTTCTTTGTGTTCATACATCTTAACTTAAACAGTTACCGTTAACGTTTCCGTTGATCTTTTTTCCTGCTTTTTCGAAGATTTTCAGCGGCGCAACCAATTATCTCCCCCATCATGTTTTTCCCTGGCCAGGCCGTTGGTGATGTTTTGATTGTTTCTTCATAAGACAGGCCAGTTCCCCAGTATAGATCATAAACTGGGTGTCCAAAGAACACAGACGGCTTAAAGGAGAGTAGTTCGTCTCTCATTTTTTCACACTGTTTTACCTTTTCTGCGATGATTTGTTCCATAACTCCCTTTTCCGTTTCCTTCCATTGATCTGATTTTTGAACAAGATTGCCAATACGTTTTGCTTCTAGGGCAGTCTTAGCGTTACGAATGCGCTCAGCTGCACCTACATCACCTGATCTTAGTGCCTTCGCTGTTTGAAAGGCTTGTTCTGCCGACCTAAATGACTCTTCAAAGATCTTAATCTCACATGGAAAGAAATTTGACAATACATTGTTTTCTCCTTGAAAAGTTTCCAAATTTTTTGGTTTTACGGGAATGTATAAATCGCAATCTTCAGATCCTGGTTTGTGCCCCGGTTTTTTGCATACTGCGCAGCATGTCTCGTTTTCACAATGGAATTTATTGTGCCCATTTTGCCAGCAATTGGTGCATGTGAGTGCTGGTTTGTCTATATGCTGGTCTTGATGGTATAGCTTACATTTCAGCCCGGCGCAATATACATTTCTGGGTAGGGTTGCGTTGGGTGGTAATGGATCTATGTATAGAAAACGATTTCCATTTAGAACACTTGTCATTCTTTTTGTTTCAGGATTTCTAATTTTCTCGTAGTACATTTCGGTTTTGGGTGTGACTTTAAGTTTAGACAACATTTCAAAGACGGCACTATCATCCACCGATAGAGGGAGGCCGCAGATTGTGACTTTTAGAGACTTATCGTCGGGAGCTTCAAGGCCTGTCGAATATGGATTTGAGTCATATACCTTGACATGTTGGTCCCCGATATCTAAGCCCTGCAGAAGAATGCCATCCCTTCCCTCTTTAGTATTCAAATAGATCCGCCACAAATCTCTATCTAATTGGATACACCGAATGGTGTCACCAACTACCTTTGAAGCGCATTGTACAAGCAGAAAATTAGTGACCTTGCCCTCTTTCGAGCCAAGTATTTCACTGTTCTTTAAATAGACCGGCTTTAAGACCTGTGCCATTGTTAGATGAACTCAATTCACTGATCTCTCACTCGCCGAATTTCGCACAATAAACAGATGAACAGGAAATACAAAGAACACATAAATCCAATCAAATATTTCACAATTTTTCACAAGAAAATATATCTATGTAGTGTTATGTCCATATAGACCACACAGAAGTACAAAACATGAAAATAATTCCACAAAACTCGATCAAAAAAGCGGAGCTCGAAAGGTAACGTCCATACCCTGTGAGCCCGTCACGGTACTCACACCTTCATATGGTGAATAATATGTGTACAAATTTTCAGACAAATGCTTCCAATAGTTTCTGAGTAATGGTCCGGACAAAATCTCGTCTACAGACAGACGGACAGACGGACATGGTGATTCCAATATATCCCCCTAAACCTCATTTGCGGGGGGTATAATTCATGTGAAAAGGTTATGATACAATGATGAAGGTAAAAATGACAGACACTTGACAAATTTCGATAAGAAAAGCTCACTTGAGCCTTTAACTCAGGTAAGCTAAAAAAGAAACAAAAGGCCCAAGGCCACAATGCTCACTTCAGTCACTTTAGTTCTACTGTGTAGAAGATATTTTAAGATTTTTCCCAATGTTCAATCATGTGAATAATTTTAACTCAATACATATTTTGGCCTCATCCTAGCTCGATGAGGTCAAAACTTTTTCTATTTATTTCATTTAAACATTTGATCCTTAAATGTTGCTCAAGCTAGGAATTTTAAAGGAACCTGGGCACAGCTGCATTGCTCTTTTGTTTATTATTTTAAGTTTTTCATCTTTATTTAGGAAATAACTTCAGTTTAAGGAATAAATATACCTGAAAATTCTTACAATTGAATGATTACAACTTTCTTCAAAACCTTCATATCATCACCTCAAACAACTCTGTAAACATGAGCAGGTGATGTAAACATGAACAAGAGCTCTGTTGTAAATGTTTACATTTTACTGGATGTATTCGATTTACTGTAAACCAATGTTTATTTGCGACGACTTTTTTTCACGATTTACCGGGGATAAAGTAGTTCACAACAATTTATTTTCGCAATCAAGCCTTTTCTTGGATCTGTTTTTAATAGAACTGAGAATTTAAGGACTGGTTCGTGGCCAGAAATATTTGCAATGATGAGGCTCTTGCGAACCACACAAAAATTTCTTGCATATGATTAAAAGTTGGTTTACAGTATTTACTCTGAAAACATCACTGCATGAGCACAGAGTGACAATACCAGTGAGTTAGTTTCACTTTCTCCATTTCTAATCTGAATTTTCTAAATCATAGTTTAAATGTTTTTCATAAATGCTCAACAAATGTTCCTCTTTTCTTAAATTGACTTCCTAGAAGAGCAAGGATGTTTGTCAATCAAGCACATTCCTACATTTGTAGTATAAGCAATTTCACGCTTTTATAATGCAGAAACATGTTTATAGCAAACACACTTATAATGAATTGACCCGTATGGCAAAGTAATTTTTATTCCCCTTGGCTTATAAATATATTGGAAACTTACAGATATAACAACTCATGTTTATAACCAAGGAAATTCGCCCATCCCTGGCACTTTGCTATTTGCATGTTTTACTATATTATGGTTTGAAATGCTCTAGCAACGTAAGTCATGATATTTAACTGAAAATTCTAAAAAATATTAACGCTGAATCTATGTTCAATCTCCTGTAAGATTAAGTTCTTCAAAATCTGTGAATATTGGGATATTATAACAACTTCAGTCTACTGAGTTTCACTTACAGGTCTGGGTTCCCCTGAGAAGCGTCGGTTATAGTCCGCGATCTTGTTCAGAATCTCTGTCTTCTCTGGACTTGTTTGGAGGTGTTCTTCTTCAGTAAAATGAATAAGTAGAAGAGTTACCTAAATCAGATAAAAAACTAAAATCACTTTTTTCCTCCAAGGATATGCATAAAGTTTGCTGTCCAACTGGGGCTGATAGAAGGATCAAAGCACACATGAGAAAAGATCTTTTCTTGGGCTTTAAATTTTCTCCATGCATTCTATAAGTTAATTGATGAATTCATGGTGATGGTCTCATGATATGACGTCTTAGAGCCATTTAGCAATATTTAAAAGTACCGGCACTAGTACTCATGTAAAACAAGAAAAGGTCTTTTATACTTGTCAGAGTTATCTCTCTTACAAAAGGGTCATTGAAGCCTTAAATTTACTTTTCATAGAAGGAAAAATATAATAATTGTACAAAATTTAATTAGGTTAACAGCAACTACATGTATTTGCAGTTTTAAAAAATTTAACAACTATTACACATGCTATCTATCTTAAAGTTAAAGCTTAATCTCAGTTGATTTAAAACAAAATATTGTATCTTGCAGATAACTACAAAGTTGTTGGCTAGTAAAAATTAATTCATTCTAAATGTACAGCAAAGCTTGTTTGGTACGAACACGGATATAGCGAATTCATGGATATCAAGTTTTACTGTATACGTGATGATAATGTAATGTTTATCACCTGTTGTCTACACACTGGACACCTCACAGCTCCTAACCATGTACCATGCTGCCAGTAAGTGGTGATACAGGTTCCTAAAAAAGTTCAATGTTCTGTTCATACTGCCCACATATTATTATTATGCCCTGTCATATACATGCATGTAAATATATATTTTTTTTCAAATGAATTGCTTTCAACTTATGTAGAAAATGGTCCAAGACCACTAGATAAGTCTAGTTGAAATGTGAAATTAAAGTTTACAACATGCCATGACCCCCTGATTTTAGCTTTAAATGATGGTAGGCTAAAGTGATGATTCTAACCACAAAAAATATGTCCACAATTGGTTTCTATTCCATAATGTGTATTGCCTAAACAAACAGGACAGTCAATTTCTCCTGGATTGGTACGGGCTCTGTCGGAGGTTTGAAGACGTTCTCGGGTGGTTCGCACATTTTCCTCACTATCTGGATGAATATTCTGAACATTGTCACTGTAGATTATACAAAAATATATGAAAATTTCATTTTAATTAACTTATTTAAATACTACATTAAATGTTTCATTTGATTTTGATGTAGTAACAAACTCACATTAAATATTTTAAAAAATTAAAAACTCGTTTTAACATTCTACCTTAATTAATCGTCTGTTAATATTGAATTTACTGTCTTTTTTAAAAAAAGAATTACAACATAAAACTATGCAATGTCTAAATACATGTACATTCAAATCTTGTTATCTTGAGCTTTGAGATACACTGTATCCAATGATTTGAGATATCGAGGGTGAAATACTTATAGAATAAGTGATTGGGACTTCCAAATAGCTTCAACATATCCATGGTATTTGAGATGTCAGTGTTCAAGATACTGAAGTTTAACTGTACATGTATTTCAAATGACTGTTTCAGATATGTTTAAACACATTTTCTCTTATGATGCCCAATTAAATTCAAGGTACTCAAAATACTCTCAGGGATTTCATCTTACTTATTTCTGTTTATGATGTACACAACCAATGGTGCAAGAATCCCCAAGAAAGCACCAATTCCATATAACACTTCGTCTCCAACTCCTTCAATTAAATGTGTACTTCTAAGGTATGACATATTTTATCTGTTGTTCCTCACAGTTCTGATGGTTGATTTGATGAAGAAAGCTAAAAGTAAAAGAACATTTTAAATGTATTGTTCATTCACTAAAACACATTTTCCAACTTCTTTCTAATATCTTCTGCTTTAATGTGTGAGTCATTTCTACGTGTCTAAATGTACACTCTTAGTACATAAAACTTTTAAAAGAAACATATTGATATTGCATCAGAGAAATACAGAATAAAAGTAGGCAAAATAAAGTTTACCCAATGATAATTGTTGCTCAGAATCTTCAATATATGGAGTGATTTTTCCCCAATTCTCAGTCTCCTAATTTAAATATAAACATAATTGATTCAACCGTTCCCAACCCGATATCCGATGTATTGACGAATCAATGCCGAAAGTGAAAGTAGAAGATCAGTCTAAATAAAGGAATATTTTGAAAAGGATTTTAGAAAAAAAAAACGTGTTTGTTTGCTTGTTTGCTTTTAGTGTTAATAGATAAAATACTGATTAAAGTGATTTTATCATGGCAATTTTTTTAAAATTATAGATGGTAAATTAAGATCTTTAATTCATGGTCAATCTATTATTCTGGCTATTAATATTGACCTATTTTAACATTTCAAAGTCCTTTTAACTATGTTTAACCTTTTATATTTATTTTTTTAAATTCTAACAAATAACAATAGAGTCTCTCTGGGTGATAAAATATTTAGTTAATCTAAAAGTTTATTCAGTTCACTTTTATTAGTGTCACCTACATGTATACCGGAAGTTTACAGTTTTATCTCCCTTGCATCCACCATTTGTCAATTTTTCTCCCAGTCCATCCCAACAAAATGGACAGAGAAGAACTATGCGATAGTCTTATCACATGGGTAAGGTGTAGTTTAGTGCTTGTTGTATTTATTAAAATATTTTTACAGAAAAAGAGATGAAATGTTTCGCCAAGGACCAAATACCAGATAACGTTACCACAGGTACTTGAGTCTTGGTTTATAATATAAATATTTATGTACCTATTTTATTTTTTTACATATCAATAAGGTACATACATATTTATATTATAAACCAAGACCCAAGTATCTGTGGTGTATACAATTTACTAGCTTCACTAACCTTAATTTGATTAGTTTGGACAGTTAGCACCTTAGCATTGTATTATTCGCTGTTATTCCAATGCTAAAAATATGAAAAACAATAAATTGAACAGGTTAAAAAAATGTATATTCAGCTTGTGATGCCTTTCAGAAAAATAGACCATGTCTTTTCATCAGATCCAGTCCATTGAGACTATTTTTCATCAGGTCCAGGCCATTAAGACTATTCAGCCTACTTGAAGTAGCTACTTCTACCTACATTTACCTGTCTTTGAAAATAAAATTAAATAATAATTATAGCACATCTTGAAACAGGTCAAACACTTGTTGTTTATCATCCTTTGCACTTGTACAGAAAAATTAAGGTGTTATCACAGTTCTCTGTTATCCTTGGACTTTTAGTAAGGCGTGGTATTCTTGACGTTACATACTGTAGAAGCACAAATTTTCATGATGATAAAATTTCTTTGTCATCAAAAATAGTTTTGTGGGCATTTAATTTCATTGTTTTGTTTTGAAAGTTACCCTATTCAATATAAAGTCATATAATATTTTGTGTGGGATTAAATTTCGTTGATAATTGTTAACAACGAAATAAACAAAAATGTGCTTTTACAATAGTTAGTGTCTGAAATTTACACAACTTTCATTCACTGTTGAAATATGTACGGGATAGTAATTAGGGTGAATGTCAACGAGTGTAGTAAATGTCCTATAACAGGGTCTTATACGGCAGAGAAGTGAGGATTAAGTCGTCTCATTGTTGTCAACAAAAATTGAAAGTTCCTGATGTTATTCATTTCTTAAGCAATGAGAATCTATTCGCCATTTGAGAGATGCTAATTACGTAGTGCTGAGAATACCAAGCCGTACTGAAAGTCCAAGGATGACAGAAAATTGTTCTAATGTAAAAACTTTTTAAAAGTGGAGAATGGAGAGGAAATGCATTAAAAATAACCCCAAAAACATTTATTTAAAATTTGTACTTTGCTTTGTTTTTGGCTATCAGAAAATGAAGCTGAATTTAGTTTTTGATGCAATTTGATAAATTAGAAAGTGATCATTTTTATAAAAAAAAAACAAAAAAAAACTTTGTCATATTCATCATCAGTGTGACTTTGTTAAGGTCTAGGAATATCCTACTCACCATATTGCGCTGTTCCTGCTTTTGGCTTCAAAATACAAGTAAACCAAAAAGTAGGTAGGTTTTATTTACTTCAAGTAGGTTAAATACCTAGGTAACTATGAGTTTCTACCACATGTAGAAATAGTCTTTGGATTGGACCTGTACTTATACTGGTATAAATATATCTTGTACATCAATATATTGAGCTTGAATTACCAACATGACTTCATTTCAACTCATCAATGTTGTTTTATTTAGGCTATTAAAACGTACTTTCAATCTGAATTCAAATCGTGAAAAAAAATCATTCTCTAAACTTGAAGGGCAGCTGCGATCAAAGGGGCTATGCATCAGTGCTATATGCATCAGTTTGTTGTGACCAAACTGTCACTTCTTCATTGAAATAACAAAGAAGATCTCTTTTGGTTAAAAATGATATTCAGCATAATGGAAAGTAATCATACTTTTCTATGCTGCGTTACAGATGTCAAGGTGATGTACAATTATAATAAATTTTCAAAAGAAGCAGTGCTTAAATTACCATCATGATTGCATGGAATTATGATTCCATGAGAAAAAGTACGTTTACATTATATATATTTGAAATATCCTTCCTTTTCAATGTATCAATGGTGTTCAATGAATTCATGGTATTCAAACTATTAATATTCAAGATTCCAAAACTCAACTGACTGCAATCATATTGAACTACAGTTATCGGTTATTGATGTGCACTTGAACTGTGTTATATTTCAGATGCAGACATTTGACATCTCGGCTCCAATCCATAAAGTGGAAGATTTAATTGATGGAGTGGCAATGGCACAAGTCCTTAATCAAATGTAAGTTTCATAGAAATGTCAAATTCTTCATAATTATCCCAACTTATTTAAAGTTTAAGGACACCTTAAATTTTCATGTAGGATCCGGTTTGAAAAACTGTACATGTATTAGAAACCAACAAATAAAATACTTAGAAAAATATTTCATGTTGTTCATCAGATATATAGAAACTTGCAGAGTATGTTTAAAGATGAAAAATATAACTATCTTCTTGAACTTGACGGAAAAGGCTGTATACATATAACACAAATAAGGATAGGTGCGGTATATGTTTGGTATCAAATATAACTACTTGAAGAAATTTGTATTTGTTTTATATGTTCTCAGAGCACCAGACTATTTTAATGAAGGCTGGATGTCAAAGATCAAATTTGATGAAGTTAAAAACTGGAGGCTTAAGGTATGTAGAGTAAACTTAAAAGTTTATTAAGGAACTGTAACATTTAAAATAAAATCATGTAAATTATAACAAGGCATTCAATTTTTGTTTTGAAAGATGATTTGTGAACATTTTTATTTATTTTATTTATTTCCCCCAATATTTCAGAAAAATGAGATGTTATCTATTTCTGTCATACAGCTATTTTTAAAACTTATTTTTCAAAAATCAATTCCAGGTCAGCAACTTGAAAAAGATTTTAAATGGCATCTTGGAGTACAATATGGAGGTAAATTTTATCATTAGCAATATTGGAGATTGTTTACTTGCATAAAAAACTGAAAAAAATGTATATACCGGGTAAATACAAAACTAGAGTGGTACAGTGTTCAAATATCTTAAAATCTAAGTTAAAATTTGGATTCTGTAGAGGCCTGAGAAGCATACAAATTACAGTGTTTCTTATTTTTTTACTTATACAGGTTTTGGGAATCCATATACAGAATTTTCAAATGCCAGATGTCAGTGCTATTGGTGAGTTTGTCTTTTACATAAAAAGACCTCATGCAGTGTTTATAGAATGACGGTTATTAACTGGTGAATTAAAATTTCTGTCAAAGGGAAATGTTTTCATGAAATTATTTATAATCTTGATGAAGGGTTATTCCCAAAATGGTCCCCATTTCTTTAAAGTTATTCAAATGTAGTATTATTTTGTTATTTTCTCTCAGAATGATGGAACTTCCCATTCATTTACTGCACTTTTTTCTTTCAACAAGTCATCTTTTACAATGTCTGAATCTTTGTAGGTGAGCGCAGTGACAAGGCAGAGCTTGGTCGACTTCTACAGCTGATCTTAGGCTGTGCCGTCAACTGTGCAAACAAAGAGGAATACATTGGGAGGATCATGTCCATGGAGGAGTCCGTACAGCATGTGGTCATGAACGCTATCCAGGAGGTATAAAAGGAATTATTATACTTCTGTTAAAATGTTTCCTACATGTATATAAAGTTCAGATGGTAAAATAACTATCTTTTATAGTTCACGCATAGCAAAGCTATACCCCAGAGTATAGTTTTTGCTATCCACCCTCGGAAAATTTTCATGCAATTTTTGCCGCCAATTTTGATTTGCAGCGATAAATCTATTGACTGAGGATATCATAATGACTTCAGTAGCATTGTGACGTCATCAGGATTTCAGATTATTCTTGCAGTATTATCTTGCTCCAAAAAAAATTCAAACCTCAGAAATTGTATTTTACATCAGTATAATAAAACGCTTATCCACTGGTTGTGAGTGGGATAGCTCTTTTATCAAACCCTTGACAGGGCTATCCCACTCACACCCAATGGATAAGTGTATAATGTCAAAAAAGAAGTGGAAAGCAAAAAAAAGTTTTGTTTGCTGACCTGCTGCTGATTTTGACTTACACAAAAATGTTTATGATTTATCAATTTGATATATTTGTATTTTTTTTTTTAACAGTTAATGACCAAGGAGATCAGTACTGGAATAGAAGGAGATACAGAACTGGGAGATCAGGTATAATGCACTCTCAATTAATAATTACCTTAAAAATGCCCAAGTAAATATACATGTAGATTCTTTTTATTTTCAGAGCTCATGTGGCATGTGGCAATTAATACACTGTCCTCATTGATTTAAAAGGGTAGTTTACAGAATTTAATAAGTGCTTGCTTTTTATTCTAGTTAAAGCGTGCTGTTGATGATTTAAATAGTGCCTTAGAAGCCAAAGAAGAATTGACTCAGCGATGTCATGAACTGGATCAACAGGTAAAACTTACCAGAATTAAGTTGACATACAATGTAATTCTATAGAAATGAGAAGACATTGATTTTCTTGCTAAATACCTGTATCTGTATGTACATAACTTTGTAATTAAGATGATCAAAGAAAAGATTTGCCTGTATTTATAGCCACAGATTGATTTTAC